AAAAAAAAAAAAAAAAAAAACAACACAAAAAACAAAAAGAAAAACCAAACCCCCACCGCCACCAGACAGAGGGGGGGGGGGGGAGAAAGAGAGAGTTTCAAATATTAAAGTTAGCTGCAATCCTAAATATCATAGGATAGAGAAGATAATATACTGTAACTAGGAGTTCTGAAAACTTTTTATTTTAAACTGACTTGTTCCCTGGATGAGGCTATAGACACTCCTTCAAAGCACTTCTGGATGCATTTAGATTCCTCTGCCTAGAATAAAATGTGGTCATGGGTGGTATGAAACATACAGCCTTTCTAAAATAAATTCTTCATGAAAGCAAACATACCTGTAAAGAGCAGGATTATGTGGTGTGGCTTGGTGTGGTGTGCTGGCTAATGTTAGATTGGGAATAAAGAAACCTGGCATAGATCTCTTCTTGGCCATTAAAACTCACTGTGGCCTATGCCCAGTCTCATAATTTCTTGGCCTAACCTATCTCACAAAGTTGTTCTGAACTTAAAATAGATGAATAAATAGGTGGGTAGGAAGCGCTTGGTAGTTAGGGACTGGAATTTCTTTAAACCATCTTGGAGAGGAACAGTTGAGACCACTGTGGTGACACTGCTGAAGATTGTGGAATTGGGACTGCTATGGTCTTTTTCAGTTTAGAGGCAAAGCCTATGATAGTTTCTTTAAAAGATTGCCTACCATTCTATTTCTTCAGCTATTTGTTGCTGAAATTCGGCTGCACAATTTCTAGAAGCCCACAAGAAACTATTTGGGAGTCATCTGTGGCTCATGGAACATAAACTGCAATTTTTGCCTAGAAGAATGTATAATAATAATGGTTAATAATGTCAATATACACCTTTTGAAATCTTGGACACTGAAAAAAATGTAACTAGAGTTTATACTTCTACACCATATTTTAAAAGGCATGTCATTAAAAACCACAAGCCAGCAGTTCTCAATCTGTTGATTGAAACCCTCACCCCAGGAGTTTGTAAGCAACTTGGAGAGGAGTCACAGTTAAAAAAAAAAAAAAACTACTTGATCAGACTTGTTCTAGCAAAGCGGGAATGTCAAAACTCACTCTGGGAGACTTCTGGGGAAGAAATGGTGAACTGAAAACCGCTCCACTAAAAGCGGAGCTGATGACTGCGGCGGAATGAAGAGCCGGTGAGTAAACTGGCTCTTTGTAATTCCTCTCTGGACAAGGAGAGGATTTGAGACTGCCCACAAGTGCTCCAGACAGTTGCTCCTCTCAAGTCTCTGGTGGGATTAGAGCTCTGGGAAATGAGGGGATAAACATCTTGCTGAATCTGCGGTTGGCACCTTCAAAAAGACACTGGGTTTGCATACTTCCTTTTCTAATCACTTTCAGAAATCGCTTGTTAACTGCTTTTTAGCTATTAGGAACCTTTGAATTGACAAGATTTACAGCACCAGGTGAGTTTCCTTTAATCCTTACTGAAAGAAGTTTTAAATACAAGTTTAAGGACTTAATTTTTTTTTTTTTTTTGAAAGAAACAGCAAAAGGGTGATTAGGACTTTGATTTTGGAAAGTTATGAACGGACTTAGAATAGGATAGAATAAGACTTTGAAGGTTGGACACTAGAGGGAACCAGAAGGAACTAAAGAGTACAATTAAAGGAGAAGAACAGTTACATTTGACTTACTAATACAGAATAGAGCAAAATATTTTAACAGTCGACATATTGAAAGACATTTTTGAACATTGGACCCAGAAGTTAATTTTAAGAGTGTCTGCCTCTATAGATAGACTGTGTTTAAAAGA